AACATTTCTTGTTATTGCTTTCTGTGATACTTCAGTAGCCTGAGTAAATTTTCATTTTTCTTCCTTATAAAGTAATTTTCTTTACTATTCTTTCATTAAAATCTGGAATTAAAAAAATAATTTTTTTTCTCTTTAATATACTGTTTTTGATAGACTAATTTAGGAAAAAAACTCTTCTGGTAATAAAGGAAAGTGAATTCTTACAGGAGAGTGTTTAAATATTTTCCCCAAAGATAATAATTATAGAAAATTCTAGAAGGCTTATATAAAATGTATAAATGATGAGTATATGTACAGCTTTAACACAGTAAGAGTAATTGGATAACAATCATCATACTAATGCCATCTTTATATACTACTGTGGTTGTAATAATAAAAGCACGCTTTACTGCATGTACATAATTCTAAAATATCCTCAAGCAAATGAGTATAATTTTGTTCTAGTTTTTCTATACTGCAAGTCAGCTTTTTAAACTTCTCTTTATAAATGAGTGTTTAAAATAATTCCATTTGCATTAATTCATCTGCTTCAAATTGTCCCAACCTGAAATAATCCTATGATTCCACTGTGTCTGCAGGTGGATTCCCATACATCCATCTGCCAGTCCTGGCAAACAAGTATCTCAAAATGATTTTCCCTGCCTGGGATTAGTTCAACATATATTAGGTGATCACAAACATGAAATCATGTGTCCTCATAAACAGTCTATACCATAGCACTTAGAAGGTTAGTGTTACAACATATGACATCTAACTTTGTCAAGAGACCAGGTAAGAAATGGAAAAAGGGATGTCTTTAATTGTGGATCACAGTTTGATTATATTATCAGACTTATCTGATAAAGGTGGCAAAAATTTCCTTCATAATTTCATGGACAGTCAGAATGATGTAAAAGTTTAAACAATGAATGAATAAAGATTGCTGTTTTAAAATCCAGTATTATTATTATTATAATGCATCCCAATTTTTAGTCTTAAGTGTTGGATACCCATATTCCATGGGAATTATGTTAGTTATATATAGCATACTGAGGTAGGCTGGTTGAGTGCACATAATTATACACATTGATCTTAGATGGTAAAACTGGCGGAATTCTCCTTTCCAGGAACAGCATGCTAGTACAGAAGCTAAAAGTTAAGAAAGACAATAGCTCTCTACCCAAATACTGACAGCAGTAAGTGTGTACAGATAGGTTATTTAAATATAGATGGATTTTATTGATAAAATAGTCAAATCAAGAGAGAGATAAAGAAAAGAAAATATGCAATATGTGGGTTTAACTAGGAGTTACTTGGTTCCTCTAACAAGATGTATGGTAAATATTAAGACAACTCAATTTTAGTTTGGGTTCCCTTAAAAGCAAGTGACTTCTAATTGGTGGGTCATAAACTGAAGAATCGGCCCTTTTTTAAAGACATCCACACATAAAATAATATAGCATTTGTATCACACATACACAATTTTTTAGACATTATTAACTTTTTTAAAAAATTTGTTTTTTTAGTTATACATGACAGTAGAATATATTTTGACATATCATACTTATAGGGAGTATAACTTCCCATTTTATACTATTAACTTTTAAGAATTTAATTTTTTTTAACTTTGTTTTTATTTATGTTTTGGTACTGACATTGAACCCATTGTTGCTTCATTATTGACCTAAGTTCCCAGCCCTTTTTATGTTTTATGTTGAGGAAGTTTCTTACAGCCTTGCTAAATGGCTGAGTTTAGCCTTGAACTTGAGATATTCCTACTTCTACCTCCCAAGTCATTGGAATTATAAATGACTTGTGCAACAAGGCCTAGCTGAAATTAAAAAAAAAATGTAAAACCTTAAAAAAAAACAGTAAAAATATTGCACTGACCCACCCTGATCTGTGTCCCCAAGACCCTAGAAGTTTTCTAGGTTCTATGTTCTTAGCATCTGGTTTGGAAATTTAAGTTATCTTCTCTTCTACATGTTTTGAAACAATAGAATGGCCAATTTTCCAAGACAATTAGAAAAAATAAGAGAAGAAATCATCAGCAGAACTGACTATTACTGTTTAAAAGAACCCACTAAGGATGTTGCTTCTAGTTAGTTTCTTCTGAACTGTGATGGAGTACATGGTTCTGACTCTCCACAAAGTCATATGTTGATGTCTAGTTGGATGGTGTTTAGAGGTGTAGACTTGGGGAGGTCACAAGAGTAGAGCCTTCATGAATAGGAATAAGAGTTGACGCAAAAAGAAGGAGGCTCTTGGCAAACCAGGATAAGGACCACCACTAGGCTCCAGATCGGCCACCACATTGATCTTAAACTTACCAGGATATAGAACCATGATAAATAAATGACATTTAAACAACCGAGTCTATAGTACTCTGATTTAGCAACTCTGAATGATTAGAACATTGGACATCAGAGTGAAGGAAAACATATGCGCTCCTTCGTACGGAAAAACCATGTACATACTCACGTATATATACGTGTCTATGTACATAAGTATCAGTTGAATAATTGAAAATAAAGAAAATACAAAACAAATATAGAAACATATTGATATAGGCTTGAAGTTTAAAAAAAACAAAGAAATGAAGTGGTTCTAAACTGAAAAACTAATAGATACAATAAAAAAGAAGGAATTCAAAATCCTGTATGAATCTTTTGCTAAAATATCAACAAAATTTTTTATTTGGAAACATAAAACTTTGGAAGATACTAAATTAATATATCAACATTACAACTAGCAAGGTAAACATAAGATTTGTTATATATCCAGTAGCTTCACAATCAGTTGTATAATTTCTGGCTCAAGTAGTAGTTCTATTTTGAGATTTAATGAAATTATATTATTTTACATATTAGTTGTATTAATTTACCCCATCCACCAGCAGTATATGAAAGTTCTTCTACCTTCAGAAGCTTAATAGCATTTATCTTTTTAATAATAATAATAATTCTAACTGAAATGAGATGAAGTTTCATTGTGATTTAGACTTGCACTGATTATTAGTCATACTGAACATTTTGCCATATGCCAACAGGCTATTTCTTTTGAGAGATGTTTATTTATTTAGCTCATATTTTCATTGGGTAATTTACTTATTTATATTTTGTTGTTGACCTGTTCAAGTTAGTTTTCTATTCTGGCCATTAACTCTTTGTCAGAGGTAGAATTTGCAAATATTTTCGCCCTTTCTGTGTGTTCTTTCTTCATTCTGTTGACTTTGTCTTTTGCTTTGCAACTTTCTATTTTGATGTTATCTGCTTTGTGGACTTTTGCTTTTGTTGCCTGTGGTTTGTGTATCATATCCAAAAACGTTTTTGATTAGATCTATTGTGAAGTATTTCTTCTAATAGTATTCTAGATGTGGGTTTTAAATTTTTTAAATGTGTTTTATCTTAATTTTGGCGTATGAACAGAGGTCAAGGTCTAGTCTCATTTTTCTATGCAATATTTTTTTGTGTGAAGGTATCCTTGCCCAAGCATATGCTCCCATGTGGCTATAAATTAAACACCAAAACTCTTTCCTAAATTAGAGAAATTGGTATCCCATGTTATTTTAATTATGTCAAAATGAATCCAAATATTATGTATAACTAACATGAACTAGTAAAATAAATAATGTGGATATAATCTCACTACTGGGTATTTTATATATTATATATAATATGTTGTGTGTGTGTGTGTGTGTGTGTATTATATTTTTAACATATGATTTTAAACCTGTATGTCTGTATGTTAAAAAAACATCTACATTTCTTGGTTTATTGTGGTACTTTTTAATGTTAGTTGAGATATGCAAGTAGCCTATGTGGTCATTAACAGATGAATAAATAAAACATATGAAATACTATTTAGCAATAAAATGAATGAAATTCTGTCACTGCAGTAACATGAGTTGACCTGGAAATCATAACGTTAATTGAAATAAGCTATGCAATGAAGATAAACACTGTATGATTTTATTCATATGTAGAAAGTTAAAAAAAACTGACTCCATAAATATAGAGCAGAATCAAGGATCTGAGAGTCTGCGGATGGGAGGGGAGAGAGGAGGATGGGCCCTGGTTAACATATACAAAGACACAGAGAGAAGGAATGATTCTGAGGTACCATTACACAATAGTGTGATTATAGTTATAATATTGTATCATACAAATCAAAATTAAAAAGAAGATATTGAATGTTATCATTACAAAGAAACAATTACAATTTGAAATGATAGAATGCCTAAACATCTTCAGGTAAACATTTCACAATTTATACATGCGTCCAAAATATTATTACTTTGTCCCATAAATAGGTGCAATTGTTATCTTTCCATTAAAAATAAACATATAAATTTTGAAAAAGTCTGTGATATGAGAAAAATTACTTAAATAGAAAATACCTATTTTTTAATTTGAAGAAGTTAATAGCAGGATTTTTAAAGATTAACAGCATAAGTTGAAGAAGAGGGGAAAAAAATGTTGCCAGAGGGTCTACTAACAAGAATTCCCAGAAATCAATACTTGTTTTCCTTTGGGAAAATCTGCTTTTGAATTACCAAATTTAAGGATATATATATATATATATGCAACAAGTAAATTTACTATTGATTCAAACTTTGAGTTTGTATGATTTTTTTGTTGTTGATGATGTTACTGGGAATTGAACCCAGAAGGGTTAACCACTGAACTACATCCCCAACCCTATTATATTTTATTTATTGAGACAGGGTCTCACTAAGTTGCTTAGGGCCTCTCTAAGTTGCTGAGGCTGGCTTTGAATTCAAAATCCTCCTATCTCAGCCTCCCGAGCTAGTGGTATTACAGGTGTGTCCCACTGTGCCCAATAATGAGTTTCCCTGATGACTGATCTAGATGTTGTTCTTAAGACAAAATTTATAGTTTGTTTTTGAACATAATAGAAATATTTAAGTTTATTCTATTTTTTTTCAAAAACATAGAAAATAGTGCTTGTTTGAAAAATATAAATATCATGATGTTGGAAATGCTCTTTATTCTTCACAGCCACTAAACTATGAGAAAAAGAAGTCCTACACCCTCAACATAGAAGGAGCCAATACACACCTGGATTTTCGTTTTTCCCACCTGGGTCCTTTTAAAGATGCAACCATGCTGAAGATCATCGTTGGGGATGTAGATGAACCACCACTATTTTCCATGCCTTCTTACATCATGGAAGTCTATGAAAATGCGAAAATTGGGACCATTGTTGGCACAGTTTTAGCACAAGATCCTGACAGTGCTAACAGTTTAGTAAGGTATGCTGTGATTCAATACTTCTAATATATAAAGATATTTGTTTCCTCTCAAGTGAATTTAAATATGAATTGTATAATATTTACTTAATTTATTACCAGGTTGACTTTTTTCAGAATTAAATTAGAATATTTGTTGGTTCTTTAACTAAGGAACATAGCAGATGTTTTTTTGTACAAATAAGAATATATGTAGCTATCTCCATGCATGTGCTACTGACCACCCAGATTGTTTCCACTTGACGGAATAAATATGTGCATAATTGATTGAAAAAATATTGTAGAAATAACTCAAACTAGAGAATCTTTGGTATCCTAGGTGTAGGAAGTATGGATAGAGTGGGAAAGTAAAATATGGGAATAACATTCATCTCAACTTGGCTACTGGTTCCTCTGGTCACAAGAGCTGTGTGGCATTATCTAGTGATCTGTCCTTATCTACAAGAGAAAAATAATACCTACCCCTCAAGATTATTGTGCAAATTCATGAATCTGTATTCACAAAGCACCAAGTAAAGCATTCTACAACTGGCAGTCACACAACTGAGTTAAGGTGAGTTAAGGTGCCCATGTGAGTCCGGACATAAACCGAGACACCCCTGAGAAGACTCATATGGGAATTCTGGCATCTCTACTGACAGCCGAGCAAGATCTGTTCAATCCTGCTGATTCTCAAAATTCTAGTATTTAAAGATGGAAAAATGATGCACATAAATATGTAGATAGAGTTGAATTTTATGGAAATGAAGGACTTAACACATGTTGAGTGGCACAGTGATGAGTATATAACTAATTACTAAATAATATTTTATTATCCATATGCTATGCGATAGAGATTATTAAGACTTTCTTATATAATCAGAAAGGACTTCTTTTTGTCTCATGACAAAATTTAAAAAAATTGTGTATAGTATATATTTACATACTTAGAGACCCTCAAGCCTTTGTTAGTTGAAATCCTTAAACAGGTCTGTCTGATTTGTCCCATAAACTCTTATTTTCACCATCATTAGTTTTCATCCATTTTAATAAAAGCCAAAAAATATACCTTATACAATATTTGTGGATGCTCTCAATTTTATTTTCTATATGTGTTATTATTTTAGTATTTTTAAGTGCATAGCACAAATGAATTAAGAGAAGCAATTCTCCATGAACAAATGTATACATTTACTAATCATGTTCCATGTCCAAGTGCAATGACAGTATCCTGTCTTGCTAAGACCAAAAGCTAGAAATTGCTTAAAGAAGCAGAGTAGGAAGATATTCAAAATACTATTTTCAAGATCAGTTATAGAAATTAATCACTCTAAAGGAATAGATAGAAGTCAGTATGTCCACTGATCAACTAGAGGAAATTTCATTATGCTTCATCATTCTATAAATTACCATTTTTTACTCTTAACTATAGGTATAACTTATTAAAATATACTGAAAGGTAGCACTATAAAGTATATGTGCAGATGAGACATCTTTTTCTATATACATCCAATGTCTTGGGAAATAAAATATTCTATTATGTTAGTTTAATTTGAAAATATCTGATAAAAATTGGTCAGATTTCATTTGAAATTTAAATATTCACACAAATGATGCTTTCTATAATTGATAATTAAAGAGTACAAATTTTTCCCATTTGTAAAGTGATAGTCAACTACCCATCATTAGTACCAATATTACAAGGATCCTCATGATAAGAAGTTACATCTATACACACACAACCACCACCACCACCACCAACAACAGCAACACTACCAGTTTGAACTCCAGATAAGACAGAAGCTTAGAAAAAGTTAAGTATGTATTTTAATCTGTTTTTTTTTTAAAGAAGGAGAACAAATATGCATGGGGAGGTGAATAAGTAAGAGGGAGACACGTAATTTAAGGAATTATTTTGTATAATTGTACAGGTACAAGTTCATAATCTGCAGAATAGGCCAGCAATCTGGAGACTCAGTTTCAGTTTCAGTTTCAGTCTAAAGGCTATCTGTAAGCAGAATACTTTTTGCTTGGGAAAAATTAGTCTTCATTCTATAGGCTTTCACCTGATTGTGTGTGGTACATCCACATATGCTTTAATCAGACTCCACTGATTTAAATTAAATATTTGTCCCATCCAAAAAGACATTCACAGAATCATACAGAATAACACTTGGTCAAATCTCTGGACATTGTTGCATAAACAATTTGGCTCATAAACATGATGTCATATTGCAATGAGGCTTACAGTGGTCTCATAGAGGTATTATAGGCAGTGTATCCCAAATATTTTTGAGAGAATAAGTTCAAAAAGATTGAAGTGAGGCTCACAATGTAGGTCTGAGAAGTAAAGGTTGGAGAAAGAATTGCAGATGGTGGTCTATATGAGGAGTGTGGACTACCGTGGATATGGTGAATTAAGAGGTTTGGAAGTGAGTCTAGGCAAGGATTTTGAGGAGGGTTTTTTGCTGGTAGGTCTTTGAGATTTATCTTAGCAGCAGTGCCAATTAGGGAAGAAAAGAAAATAGGGGAGCTTCAATATTTGTAACCAAAAATATACAAATAAAACATTTCCATTTTAAGATAAATACTAATAATCTTAGAAGTTGAAATGAAAGATGAATTTTCTGTGAAGCAATATAGGCCAAATGAGACAAAATTGAGAACAAGAGCAAAATCCTTTCAGCAGCTGTCCTAACACATATGAAAACACCTTATTTCACACAGAACTGGAGATGAAATACCTACCCTTCTCCAAGGGACAGTTGGAATTGTCTGGAGGCTTTTTTGAGAATGTCTTGGTCCTTTGGCTATCACTATCTGACCTGCACTGTGGAGTGTAAAAAAATATTCATTTTCACAGTTCTGGATGCTGAAAGGTCAAAGACCAAAATCTAGGGTTTGGAGAAGGCCTGCTTCCAGGTTTGTAGATACTGTGTCTTCAGGTGGCAAGGGGCAGAGAAAGAAGCAAAATATCTCTTAGTTTTTTCTTGGAAAGCCCTAAATCCATTCATGAGAGCTACAGCGAATTTCATAGTCAATTTCTAGTGATGATTTTTTGATTTAGCCAGTTTGGCTGCCACAACACATTATCATAAACTCGGTGCTTCTAAAAAACAAAAGCTGTTATCTCACAGTTGCACCGTGAAATAAGGGTGGCAGAGTAGCTGGGTTTTGGGGAAGACCCTCTGTATTGCAAGTAGTCAACTCCTGGTATCCTTACATGTTGGCGAGGCATTTAAAGAAAAGAAATCTGAAAATCTGAAAATCAAAAAAATCTCACATCCTAACAAGCTCCTTTATTAGAATGCTAATACCATTCTTGAGATCTCCATTCTTAAGATCTAATGCCTCCTTAATTGAGGACCCTGTCAGGTCAATTAAATGTGCAAGGGGGTAGGGGTAGGGGTGGCACAAGCATCCAGTACATAGCAGGGAGAGAACTACTGGCATCTCTAGTAAGAGAGAACCAGGGATCAAGATAACATTCCACAATTCATGGGACAACTACTATCACAGAAATTATCTGGTCCCAAATACCAATAGTTCCGAAGTAGAGGAACTCTGCTATAGAATAAGGCAAATTTTGTTGTAGATTAGTAAAACAGCAGTACTAAATATATTCATTAAAAAATTTTTACAAAGAAATTTTGTAAAGATATTTATTCAAATGCATAATTTAAAATAGACTTAATCATATAAATGTTTCAATATGAATGTTTCAAAGTTAAGTAAGCTGTTTCTATGGATAATTTATTTCCTCAAGTTATGATTAATTGCTTTAATAATTGCCCCATATTATTGAGAATATTTAATTGAATACTTGCTATGGCACATATATTCTCCAACTTATTGGGGTGCAAAGATGACTGATATTGTCTCTAAATGCTAATAAAGCAAAGCACAAATCTCCCAGCATATGCATTATTCTCTTTGCTTTGTTTTGGTTAGACAACTAAAATGAATCCTGCTTCGGCCCTGTAAAATAATTAGGGACTCCTTAGCTGCTGTTTGGGGGCATAATTTACATAATATTTATTCTTTATTTTAATAAAAATGTGTCATTCATATGGGCCTCTAGGTGCAAACAGTGAATAAAAAACAGAAAACAATAACGAACACACAAGCAAGCCTCACATTTCCACCTTTCTCAGGGACCAAATGTTTGTACTAATTAAGGAAAAGCACATTGAGAAGATGTACCTTGCAGTGTGCCCCGAAATGCAATTAGCTTCAAGTTTGCAGAATTGGAAATGAAAGGGAGTTTGAGTCTTACATGCATTTGTGAAAATCTTCCTGACTGTAGTCTTTTGTTTTTCAATTTTCTAACCTATTAGTGAGCCACTAGAATGCTTGGAGCCTCAAATGTCTTATGCTTTATCTTTTTCTACTCAAAATAAGATGTTCAATTTGTAGCAATAGAATCATCACTTTTTGTTAAAAAAAGAAAGGAAAAATACATAAAATTTTAGACTGGTTGTTTACATGTACTGAAGAAATGTTGGGTTTAAATGGCTGCACTTAAATTGCCAGCATAATACTTTTACAAGGCTAGGCACTGGTAAACTGAGGAAGCATGAAGGCCCCTCTGATTCTGGCAGTGAAGTCAGAAAAATTTTCAACTTATCCCTCAGAGTAACAGACAAGTTTATTAGAACGGATAGAAAAGGAGAAGGGGAAACACTCTCACGGGAGAGAGTGGATGATCTCAGAGAAGAGAGGGACAGTGATCAAAGGGGTTAATTTCATACACTGGTAAGAGGAAACGGTGAAGACAGTCAAGTTGCTTTTTAACTCCTGAAACACCAATATAGAGCTCTTCTTTATTTTTGGAGGGTGGTGGTGCCTGGGATTGAACTCTGGGGCATTCATCCACTGAGCCACATCTGTAACAGCCCTATTTTGTATTTTATTTAGAGACAGGGTCTTACTGAATTGCTTAGCATCTTGCTTTTGATGAGTCTGGCTTTGAACTCTCAATCCTCCTGCCTCAGCCTCCCAAGCCACTAGGATTACTGGGGTGT